TKSGRWTTTTAGGAGAAATGTAGATATTAAAGTCAGTGGTTTCTTTGTGAATCTTACTTGGGGTTGAAGGCAACTGAGTGAAAAATGGATGGCTCCTGCCAGTAGTTTGAATAGTTGAGCAGACTGCTTCAAACAAGTTCTTTTGAAAATGCTGCTGTTAAAGCAAAYTATGAYGATGACCTTAGTTGAAAGTGCACTMTGATTGTCTTTGCCTAAAGCTTTGCTAATTCTTACTGAGTGATGGTTTTGTCCTGCCACCATCACTGCAGCACCTGAATGCCATGCACTGGTGTATTGAGTGAACATTTGTCCAGGGTAGATTGCAGACTGGGATGTCCAAGCAATTAAATGTACAATAAAGGCTCATCTCTTTGAGTTAAATATATACACCCTGCAAGCATGAGGAAGCCATGGGGTRCTCGGGTACTACAAAGTTGAAGGAAGTATTTCCTTATTTTCCAGACTCGGAAGGAGTTTCTCTATGAACTATTCCCGTTTCAAATACTAGTTAGAACCCTCAAATTGTCTAGTCTCTGTAATATTTTGRTGCTTGAAGTTTTATCTTCTAATTCAGTTTTAAGTATTGTAGCTGCTCCTCAAACAGAAGTGTCTGCAGTTTAATGCGTTATCCCGTTTGCGAGCTGTTTTACGGTGTTTTGGAAGCCAGCACGGCCAAGGGTGGGGGCTCTGTGGCTCCCGTGGCGAGCAGGGAGGGCCTTTGCYGGTGCTTTCACCGCGTGGGACGAGTCTGCGGCGGGGGGCACGGCGGTCCCGTCCCTGTGCGGGGCTGTGAGTGGCGGCCCCGGGGAGGGGACAACGGGCCCGGCCCTTTGTAGAAACCTGAGACAGCAGCGCGCACCGAGGCGGAGGGAAGGGCTCCGCGGGGGAAGCGGGAGCGGCGGGGAGAGCCCGCAGGAATAGGTGACTTTAAGAGCCGAGGGACGGCGGCGGGGCGAGGCGGGCTGCAGTCGGAGCTCAGCTGCGCGGAGGCACCGCGCTCCTCGGTGTCCGCCCGGCCCGGGGCACCGCGCTCCTCCGTGTCCGCCCGGCCCGGGGCACCGCGCTCCTCCGTGTCCGCCCGGCCCGGGGCGGGGGAGGGAGGCCCGCGGATCGCCGGTAGCCCCGGCCCCGCCCCGCCCCGCCCGCTCGCTCCTGCCTCCGCTCCGCCGCACCGGGGCCGCGCGGGGTCCGCTCGGGCTGTCTGACGCTGTGCTCTGCCCGCAGATGGCCGCCTGCGTGTCCCGCCTGGAGCTGTCCGTGCCCTGCCAGAGCCTCCTCCACACAGACCTGGGCTCCAGGTCGGATCCCTGCTGTGTCCTGCTGCGGGACGCGGGCGGTGGCCGCTGCGCTGAGGTAAGGGCGGCCGCATGCTGCCGGTGCGTGGAAACACACCCAGTCTCCTCCTTTCCATCCCGTAGGTTTTTCTGGCAGGTGYGTGACATACTTAATKCAGATTTACAGTTGGTGAGCAGTCYCCATGCCCACAGTCAAACCTTCGCTGGTTTCATTAACTGCTGACTTGTTTGCTTGGAGTTGCATCAGGAGGCTCATTTGCCTTTTATGRTGTGACTTGCCCAAGAGCACGCACTTCAGAATACACTGTTTTAACAGCCTTTTTCCCTTAATATTCAGATTTTTTTCCCATTAAATGATGTGTTTTTTTCAATGTCATTTCCTTTCTTGGTGAGCCATCAGTCAGTTTGGTGTGTCAGTGAACGGAGGTGTGGTCTGGGGTGTGTAGCCTTGCTGCTGGATGTGTTCACCTGATGCAGGTGAAAAGCGGTGTGGGATAATGTGGGCTTCTTACTCATCATCAACAGGTTTGCTTCTTTGTTTGTACAGCTAGATTGCACGGAGAAGATCAAGAACTGCCAAGACCCTGAATTCTGCAAGAAACTGGTTGTGGACTATTACTTTGAGAAAGTGCAGAAGCTGAAATTCAGCATGTATGATATGGATAACAAGTCTTTTGATTTAAATGATGATGACTACCTGGAAGGGATCGAGTACACACTGCTACAGGTACCTGTAGAGATGTTTTAAGTCATGTACAAAATAGCAGCAAGAGTTGGTTTTATTATGAAAAATGAAGTGAAAATCTGCTTTGTCAAACACTTCAATATACTCAAAATTGAAAATTCTGTTAAGACATGTTAGTTTGCATTACTGTTGAATGTAGTTAGAAAAATCATTATGTCTATCACAAAGCAAAGATTAGGAATACACATGGTTTGTAGTTACTTGCGTAACTTAGGAGGCACTTTTGGGCAGTCTGAGAGTAAGGAAGCATGGTGCTTGGAGGGCTCTCGTGGAGTTTCCTTTGCACAAAGTCACCATCAGGTGGTAAATCTGGGGAAATAAGGCTATTTGAGATTCTATGTTCATTTTCTGAGGAGGGGTTTGTATAGCTAGGTAAGAGCAGAAAAGTGTGAATGATATTATTAAAGAAAGATTCAATAAATTAAGAGGTATTTTCTGGTTTTAGTAGCTTTTTGGCTACTTGTGATGACAGTGCCACATGTGTCTAAGGTAGCAAAAATAGGAAGCTAAAGTTAAGTTTGGAGACGTGTTTGTGGGCACTGTTTCCTGGATAGTGAGAGAAGATCATTTTCAGACTGTTCAGGAGCACRAACTGATGGCTGTCACTGTTGGAAATGCATTTAGATCTTTTCGGAACTTTTAGAAGYGTTTGAAAACTTTGCACCTGAAGAGTAATTCTTTGCTCGTTGTCTAACTTAATATTTTTAATATCTGTCTTTTGACCTTAGGTTGTGTCCAGCTCAATGTTCACCCGACTACTGGAATTGAAGCAGGAAAGGGCAGTATTATGGTAAATAAGGTTTTTGTGTGAAAAAGCTCTTTCATATGTTGTCTGAGATAAAGTGGCTTTTCTGGTTTCCTGTCAGTGTATCTTCAAATGCTACATGGATACAGGAGTGAGATATTTTTTATAACTACAATTTATTTTATGGGCAAAGTATAATCAAAACTCTGTGATTTCTTGTTTACTCTCCCCCCTCCCCCCATCAAATTTCCATGGCACAGATTTCAGGAGAGGAGATTAAAGATACCAGAGTTGGAATAACTGGAAATCGAAGCCCAAAACTTGGACAAACAGGTATTGATTTTTTAAAAAATTGCCTTGCATGCTTCTGTAGTAGTTACATTTTGTGCCTTTTGGCCATGACTCTCTGTGTTTGCAGACATTGAGCTAAGCCAGTAATACGTGTGTAAGCAGAGGCTCACTGTGTTTTGTGTTATTTACAATGAAGTAAAACTGGAGATAAAATTGTATGTTGAAGAACACGATGTCAAACCAGAATCTCAACCTCCAGGTTTARGTTTGGGGAATTATTTTGGCTTTGGAACGTTCTGTGTGTTAATACAGTTCAGTTATTTAATTATCTCCAGTGAGTACTGTAGCTTTTAACTGATACTTCTGTGTTTCTGTTAAATAAGAGAAGGTGGAAATTTAGGTGTACTGCTCAATGTTATTTTAAGCCAAAGACAAACACAGGAATTCAGTGACCTAACTCTCAGTTAGCAAAAGGATATAATTTATAGTGACGAAAATGGTCTAAGGATGAGACCTTGGAATTGGAGCTGATAAATTCTGATGGCTTATAGACTGCAGCAGTTTAAGAAAGGAAAAAGTGAGGAAAAGAAACAAATGTATAGTTTGTTCTTTGAAGTATTGTGTACTAATTAGCTAATTCTTTACTCATTTTGCTAAAATATAGAGGMTGATTGCTACTGATGGGTTTTTGTTTGTAGGATTTTTTAGGCAAATCGGATCYATTTCTGGAGTTTTATAAGCAGAGTGATGCTGGAACATGGCAGCTCATCTACAGATCAGAGGTAGTATTTCCACACGATGTTTTCCTTGTTGATAAAGCAGCTTACTCTTACCAAAAGTGAGAGTTCCACTCCTCTCTGGGTCATGCTATGCACCAGTTTTGCAGAGAACGTTGTATCCTATAAAAAGACACTCTGTTCCCTAAGGCTACAGCAAATTGTTTATTTGCTACCTGGTGACTGGATGGAGCCACCTGAGTGAGGATTCTGACCAYGGACAGCAAGTGAGAAGAGGGACTCTCTCTTCCTTTTCACTGGCGTTGAGCTTGGCTGTAAAGKTTAACTTTACCCAGAGCATTAAGTTTTTATTTCTTGGAGGGCTGTTGCTTGGCCGTTGATAGTGCCAGAGTTGAACTGCTTGAGGCTGCTCTTTGCTTGCTGTGCAGAGCCCTCGTGTCATGATTCCTAGTGAGTTGCATGCATTCATCATGTGCATTATGCTGTAATTATTTTAAGGTGGTCAAGAGCAACTTAAATCCATGCTGGAGGAAGTTCAGKGTACCCTTGTAAACGTTCTATGGTGGAGATTTTAATAAACTATCAAGTTACAGCCTTCAGAAATTCTCTTTGTTGTTCCAAGTCATCTGTTCTCTGTTGATGCTAAGTCTGAGTTATCTGGTTGTCTAGTCATATTTAAATTATTAGATTGCCTTTCTAGAACTGTAGTGTAGCAGGTAAGTGTTTATGCATCTGTATTAAAACAYTGAGTTGTCAAACTGAGAAGTCAGGAAATGCAGAAGTGATGTGATTTCCATGATTAGTCGTAAGAAGAATTATAATGGGTGTTTTTTTTCTCTATTCTGGCCAGGGTTTCAGGTTGGGCTTTGGTGATGGTGTCTTGGTTGGTTGTTTTGGGTTTTTTTCATTATGGCTTTTTAGCATTGTTTCTAAGTTAACTGAGAAGCTTGCAGATGTTGGACAAAGTTGAGTGCCTTGGGATACTGACAGAGAGAGGAGACATCTGTCAGATTTATCCCTTCATGAGACTGGAAGCTTTTTCCAGCTCTTATCTCAAAATTTAGTTTTGAGTYATAACTGCATTTCCTTGTGGTCTTGTATATGATAACTGATTCTCTGTAGTCCTGGCTTGAGGAGGTGTAGCAGAACAACTACATATTTTAATGTTTATACAAAAGAAAATTTGATAGTAACTTAATATGTTAATTTTTCTTCTAAGCAATGCGTTGATAATTTAAAGGCATTTATATCCATAGATAGGTCTGTGTGAATATAATTTCTCTCTACTTACCTAACACCTAAATACTTTACATTAGCAGAATTCTACTGYTTCACCCTATCTCTGAAGAAATTTCATGCTGAAAGCTTGATRTGGATGATTTAGCAAAAAAGCATGCATGCTGATGTTGTTCTTTGTGCCTTATGGCAAGTCCTAAGAATTATTGATATTATTAACCTGGAAATAGGTGTTCAGGTGTTGTCTTGGTTTAAGACAGGTGTCTTCAAGGTGGGAACCTTCCTGTGGTGGAAAATATGACC